TAACGCTTGTTGGTTCTAAAACCTGTGCTTCTAGTTGACACAACATTAATTCATTCCCTGTTTGCATACGAAGACAAATGGTCGAACGGATTCGTCCAAATAACTGAATAAACCTCAATAGATACTCCTCAATGTCGCTTTAACAATTCGAGGACAGTTTTTTTGCAGTGATTATAAGGCTCTTTGGCTTACTCGCTTTTCGCTGAACGAAATCCCATCGTCAGGCTGCAATAGCTCTTTCACGCTCCTGATGATCGCATCTTCTCCATATCAAGTACAATATCGGGAACAAATGTGCACAATTCGTCCAAAAATACAACAATGATCCACGCTCAATTATTTCAATGTCCTTTTAACAATTCTAAGTCCATTTCTTGCGGATGATATTATCAGTGTTCTTTAAAATATTGTTATTTATACAAAACCAATCTCTATAACTGATGTGTCGGGAAAAAAAATTCGCCTTACTAGTACCCTCAAGAATATTCCAAACATATAGGTAAAAGGCACTTGGAAAAAAGGTAATACTAAGTAAGGGAGGTAGGAGTAACGTGTTTAATCTGACTTTAATGAATAAATTAATAAGAATCGAGTGAGTGAGTGAGGGAGTGAGTGAGTGAGTGATCGAGTGCCATTCGAGTGCCTCCAAAAGCCCATGGCATGACTACGTCATCCATGAGCTAAAAATGACAATATGAAACTATCAGTTAACAAACCAAATTGTCTGGTTTGTGAGCTAGGAACTGTGCTACTGTTCAACTGGTATTGATTTTAAAATTTGCCTTCGGACCCGAAAAATTACCGGAGATTTAGAGAAACGGGCCCCTGGCCCCAGACCTACCGTCAGCTGCGTCAGTCGCCTACGTAGTCTAAAATCCTGTTTTTTAACTCCCACGCGCTTGCGTACCGACTGTGGATTCATTAGTCAGTAACAAACTTGCAGCAAGTCACAAACAGCTAACGTTTTAGACTTGCATTTCCTGACTTCCTCTCAACATTCAGCAAAAGAATCTAAACGCATCGAATTGCTTCGATGAGATAAGACGTTGAAGTGTTTCTTAGCTTAAAAGACATTGTCTGCAAGTGACTGCGACTGAATGGTGTTGAATTTCTTAACAGAATTGCCCCGAGCTAAAAAACTAGTAGATATCTGGGATATTTTTAGTTACATGTTGTGAGGAAACGCTGACTTTTGTTTTTGTAGGAGATTTTTGCGCCCTCAGATGACAGCTATTCATCAGGAGATACATACCTTAGACAACCCAATTGCTAGTCTATAACCCGGGGGGTACTACCTATAATAGCCCCTATCGGGAGGCTCCGCCCGAAACGGGTACCTTTTTCAGGCTCTAGGTATATGAAAGGGTAGGAAAATGACGGAAATCAGTCATTTCAGTTTGTAAAAAGGCCAAAAGCGCAAAGAGATGCATTTTACGACTGCGAACAATCGAGAAAACTTTATGTTTCAGTGATTTATTCATATTTCAAAAACAGTGCACTTACGGCAGTTAAAAGGGATGCAAAGTTCTAAACAAGGTATATGAAAGGGGTACCATTTCTCAATAGAATGTAAACGAAAGGAGTACCTATTCTGTCAAAAATTATATTTAAAAGGGTGAGGGGTTGGACCTCGGGGCGGAGCCCCTCCGTATAAAACCTTCAGTGGTACCCCCGCCCCGGGCTCTATAACTTTTAATTCCGTGGGGGAAATCCTGTGGTATCACTATTCACACAAAACCTCTTCAGCAGAACTTTGCATAGTACAGTGAGTTTATTTCTTAGGATTCTTTACCATTTTCCTGTGAATTTTTTTTTTTGGTGGAGGGGTTGCTGTGTTAAGGAAATATTGATCTCTTTTATAACGCTTTATTAGTACTTAGACATATACATTAGGTGTAAAATGTTGCCACTCAAGTTTAGCTAGGGACGAGGAATTTACAACTGGTGAGGTCTGGGAAGGGATTCCTGGCGAGAAAGCAAGTCGCTTACACCAAAGAAAGAAGAGATTACTTGACTTCTATGAAAATGCTGTGTGTGTGAAAGCAATGTAAGGTAAAAGTAAAAATTAAGTGCTATTTAACTGGCATACCATCCTTTCTTTGCCCAACGTTTCTACTTCTTCACTAAAATCATTAAATTTTCATTTTGCACGTTTGAAGAGTTATAAATAGTGTAACGAAATTCCATGTAACCACTCGGTGGACTTTATTTGATTGTTTTATGAACTAAACACTGATGATATATTGCTTAGTTTTCTGGCTTGAAAATAAACAAAGGAACATTCCGCTTCCTTTTTTGTTTTACTACACCAAAATAACCTGACCCTTTTTTACGAGTCAATCGTGGAGTCATTATACTGGTCGTCTGCCAGATCCTTTAAAGGAAGGCTCGTGAAGGCAATACACTGCGACCTGCGATTTCAAGAAAATCTCTTTAGCAGGAGTTTATATGGTCCCAGCTGTTAGTCAGTTTCCATGCCTTTTAGATCACATTTGATGTTTTTCATGCATTTTTTCAGCTCAGGACTTTGCGGAAGTGCCGAAAGGGTCAAATAAACAGATCAAAAATCACTTCATAATTACTTCTTGGCTTGGGTCACATTTTGGTCGCTTACTTTAATTGCATAGTTAGAAATTCAACACCAAAAGTAATCATGTCGCTGTTTTTCCAAAGCTTATAGTAATTTAAATGTGTAAAACAGGCATTTACTACCAATGTGATAAATCCCGGTGAAACAGAGGGCGACTTTCAGTGCTAAATATCTTTTGAGACCTACACAGCTATTCATAACACCTGATTTTGTTAACAGGGTTTAATACTAGAAGCTACTAGATAACAGTTGTTTCCAATGCAGGGACGTTGAACCTTCGTGGCAGTCAATACGGTTTTTGAAGCCCGCCTTGATGTTGTTTTGTTTTCAAGTTCTGTTGTTTAATTTGACTTGCCAATTGTTTAGAAATTTCAAGGAGATAACGAAGGCACGCAACGGCATTTGTTCGAGTGCAGCGTTGCCTTCGGCGCACTTCATTACGACTGGGTACTCTTTGTTTTACGGGGTAAGTAGACAAAACACAGCTAATGGTACTCTTAGCCATAGAATTCTTTCTAAACTTCTAAATTTTCTTACTTGAACTCGGATAAGCGTCTTCCACTCTTGAGGTCAACCTCACAAGCTTTAAGAAAGAAACCTTCGATCGGTGTTTAATGAACACGATGAAATGAAGTCGGCGGTGATAAACTCAACGGTATGACCCTTGTTGACTGAAAGCTTTTAGAGAGGTCTTACTGGCGCTGTACACATTCATGAATATTAAGTAATAGCAAGAAGGATTATTGTGTAATCCTCTTAATAGCCATGACGGGAAAGATTCATTTCAATACGGCTGAGAGAGCTGGTAAAATACCTCGGTTGCTGACGCCTTTCAGGCGCAATCAGCGTATTTAATTAAAAGGCATGCTTTCACCGATCCGATTTATAACGCATCATGTCGTAACACCGCTCACAGGACGCGAAACAGAGCTCGGTGTTACCTATACAAACACCGCGTTACGTTAGCTCAAAATAAGCAGTAAGACTGTTGATTTTCGCTCTCGCTTTTTCCTGGACAGTTGAAATTGCTTGTATCATGAGCGTGGCGCCGAAAGCAGTCAGAAAACGTTCCGTCACTCTGAATTCTTTGGAGCCTTTTCTGAGGAAGCAAAAGAGGGAAAGGCTTCGTACAACCAGCATCAATTCCATCGCATCAGGAATCGCAAGCTTCCCAGAACGGCAGCGTTCTCTAACATGGCATGGCGCCGAAGATGAAGGTGGCCTTGGGGGCTCCTCACCCAAATTGACCCTGCCGCTGAATTCAGCTCACGATATTGCTGATTTAAAAGATTTCCACGACGAGTTGGAATCTCAAGAAGTCATAAAGCACATTATAACCGAAGAGCTGGATAGATCTCTGTTCGATTGTGACTACGACAGCGAAAGATGTGTGGCACAGTGCGCGGATATAAGCCAAGCGGTGGAATCGAGAGTCAAAGAAATCACTCCGCACGAAACGAAGGTACTGGCTGTGGTGTATATAGGTGAGATACGGGATCAGGGACTTGAAATAACCAGTCAATGCCTCTGGGACCCGGAAACAGACAATTTTGTAACTGCAAGTTTCAGGAGCAAGACTCTGTTCGCCGTGTGCACTGTTTTTACGGTTCAGTACTGAACATCACGAGGCGTTAACTTTGCTTCAAAGCCAAGTGTTGATACTTTAATTCCCGTTTTGCACATACAACACGCGTATTATTAAAGCTATACTGCAACTAAGGCGAGGGAAACATGAAAATTTTCGGAGTGCAACATTATACTAAAAGCAAACAGTACCACAAAGTTATTTCTTGATAACTTTGACCTAAATGATTCAAAGTTATTTCACATATGTGAGAACAATCTAGGATTAGAGGAGTTGACAGTGGTGTTGCAAGTAATATACTTCGCAAACTAAACAGCGAAATTAGAAAAAAAATCAAGTATGCACATTTATCAATGACAATTTTGGAGATATTTGTAATTATTTGTGATGATCTCCCGGAATTAATGGTCCTCTGTACTCCCATTATTTGTTAGCATTTCTAAAGTAAGTACCGGTAATTACTCATCTTTAATTTGGAGAAGCATACGCAAACCCGCAAAACTACAGTTATTACAATAGGCATATAACGATTATTTCCCATACTTCGTTAAACAAATGACCCCACTTAAAAGTCAATGGGCACTGAGTTTGTATAAATATTCAACGTTTAATTTGGCTTCAGACTGTTGTAAATGATATTTTGATCGTGCAAATGGTGAACACGGGCTGAATAAAACTAAAAAAGTTCTCGGAGGTGAAAATTTTAACGTCAAAGAAATTTAAATTTAAAGTTCTTTCTTCTTCAAATAGCGGCTGGATCAAGGGTAATTACACTTAGTTCAATTTCCAAATAAGGTAGATATTACATCAGAGTATAAATAAACTCAGCATATTTAAAGGTACTGCATCCACTTGGTCGGAAAATCATAAAGCCAGCCAATCGTTTCTCTTTACTGTACAGTAGTAATCTCTTTGTTGGACAATTATGCCGGAAACAAAGGTTTAATTATTTGCAAAGGAATGGCTGATGATAAATTTACAAAAATTGAATAAAACATAGTGCGTTATTAATTCAATGAGCAATTTATTACGAATAAACAAATGTAGCTATTTAAAGCTGCTGTCAACTTTCTCGTTGCACTCTCTAGCCTCGTGCCTTGCATTTATACATTGAAGCCTGAGTCAACCTTAAATTTGTTTTGAAAGGAAACCGCTACATGAACCCGCTTGTTAATTTTTTCAAACTTCGAGAGTTTAAAGTTAATTCTTGACAAGGTGATTTACAAATTCAATGATAAGGAACTGCGATCAC